TTCATCAACCATATCTGAGCAGGAGGACAGACACAAACACAACCATATACAGTATTTACATTCTCACACAGGAGGAAAAAGACTACTAAAGTGGGCAAAGGGGAGAACAACAATCTTTGGAAGCATGTTTCCTATATTAATAGGCTATATTAATATTTTCTTATCCTGCTTGTGGCAGCACATGCAGACCTTGTGAAGTGGCCCCACTGGGTTATGATCGGTGGTTTGAGGGTTGCAGTACTATTATAGTATTGTAGTTGAGTATTGATAAAACTCCTGTTACCAATCAATGTGTCTCTGAACAGAAAATATTTGATCAATAAATAGCTTTATTGTTTATATGATGTGCTAACATTTATATTTTTTGAGTTTTCACAATTAAGATAATATAAATAAGTAAATAAATACATTTTCTTAGTTTTTTACTCTAGCGATAACTCACATTTATCACAAAACTTTGTGTCAAGAGTTACATAAGTTACGTTTACGTTTGTCTGTAATCAACAATAACTTCAAATAAACAAATAGCACTTAAACATGTTGCACTGCTTTAATATGAATTAATGTTAAGTTTTGTATTGTGTTGCAATTTTTCACTCTGAACACTGGAGGGCACTCTTCCTTGAACTGAACGCTTTAAATTAACTTTTAGATTTAGATTTCTTTTTTTTCTTCATATAAACATATAGTTAACAATTACATATAATATGTTATACATTAATTCCTGTCTCAAATGTGACAACAATTCAAATGTGGTTGTGCAGGCCTGAATTGATATAATTTTTTCAGAAAAGATGTACTTTATAATTTATAAATGAAAAACATGTATTTACTGCCTCTTATTGACACCGGTTGGAAAGCTGCTTTGGAAGAATAAAGTTAAATTCGTCCAGTATGTGATTAAGAGGAAACTGATCAATGTCGAATTATACAAATGACTGATCAAATTCAAATATTGTACTTTCACCATGATCAGCGTATGAAATATGATGCATTGGTATACATTTAACAACCTAACAGTATGTCAAATTGTTAAAATTAGCTCCATCTTGACAAATAGTAAAATGCAAATGTGAATCAAGAAAAATTCAACTCAAAATATTTACGGTTCATACTTGTTTCCTTAAATGTGTTAAAAGGAAACCATTAAAAAGAATAACACCACACTGTAAATTACTTCTGATTTTATTCAATGGAAAAAAAGACCTTCAGGAAAATACAGTAATTCCCATAGTACACACAGAGAGGACATAAATTAGAGAGGCATGGCAGAGAGACGTTTGAGGGGAAACATGTCGCCTGGCACCTGGGTGGTAGAAAACGTTTGATCCACGCACACTGTGCACTATGCAGGATGTAGAGGAATCAGTGAAATCACACTCTTACACTTGTGTTATTCGTAACGTGAGCAAAAGTTGATTATTCCTGTACACAAACGTCTAAATGATAGTACAAAAAGGGGATAATACAAAATACAAAAACCAGGGGGGGTGGTGGGGGGGGGGACTGCCCTCAAAATAAACCATAAATATTCATATCGATGCACATTGGTTTAACAAAACAATTGCTTCTGTAAACATTTTCAACATAAGGTGTGCATTACAAGTTAAAAACCACTGCAGTCGCATACTTATCTGAAGGGTTACATAATAAAAATTGCAGAAACGAGACTAAAAACTAAGTCAGAGTTAAAAATATGCCGCTTAGTTCGCGCCGTCTAAAGTGGTTTTGTAACACTGCTATTAGAACGTGTGACTTTTTGCCTCCTCGCTCCTGTGTTCTGCAGCTCTCGGAAGGCCCCACCTTGGACAGTGAAGGCACCACCCTTGCTGAGAGAGCAGGATGAAGGAGTCGAGGTGGGGGTGAGTGGAACCCGTTATGGAGTTTACTTTTCATACTGCCGCAGGATGGAATCTACATTACAACAGTTGAATGAGCCTAACATGAAGTGACAAACAAGCCTCGCCTCGTCATTCTGGGTTTTAGAGACAGGAAGAAGAAAATGAAGACATAAAATTCATTTCTGGGATGGAATAATTATCCAGTTAAAGTTGAAAATCCAAACTTCTTCACTTTTAATTTGTCAAAACCTGTAGAGGGCTTCAAGCAGTTTTAATCAGCTGATCCTGATGTCCTTCCCCTTGGTGGAGTGTGATGTTCAAAGCTTCTTCTCCGCTCTCCAGCGTATGCACGCTGCCTTCATTACCTTCCTGTCACTTCTGCCTGCTGGCCTCCATGCTACCTTAATGGCCACCTGCTAATTCTGCATGTCTAATTCACAGTTTATCCTAGCCCTACTTATGACTGACGTTAAAGGAAAAATCCACCAGGGAGAGGGGAGAGGGAAACAGCTTTTGGTAATAATGCAGCTCACATTTTTGGGTCTATTTTCTGGTTTTGGTGGTGTGTTTAGAAAGCAGAACGACAAGACAAGAATGAGCAGACATTGAGCCAGCGACAAAGCAGATTAAAGAAAAGCCGTTCGACATTGCTGATAAATAGGGTGGATTTTTCCTTTAAAACTCATCTATGGGTGTGTCTTGCATTCGTATGCTTTATTCATGTGCAGCAAAGTCACATACAAAATATACAGTGTATGAAAAAACGGGGGCTAATTGTGTCGATAACACCAAAGCAACATGCGGTCATAAACAGGGCTACTTCTGTCCGACATAACCTACAGTACGTGAGGCAATGCGGCTGGGAGAGTCTGAAGCCCGCAAGGTTGATGTTGTTAGTATGTACAAGCTGATATCCAGACAGTACCCTGTTATTAATGGATATATCAAGAAGGTCCCTTAAAAAAAATCTTCACTTTAAGAAGGAGAAGGCAAAAAAAGTGAAGACGCAGAGGCAGATTTACATGTCAAGCGTTATTTATGGGAGGAAAACTGTGAACTAGTGTTAAATGACATGCTTGACGTGAAAATCTACCGGTGGTGGGGAACGGGAGTTAATTTTACCTGAACGGGACCTGGACTAAACACAGCTACTAACAGCTACACTTGGGAGTGCGGCGCATACAGCATTCGCCGCCTTCGATACAGCAAACGGCCGCGTTCAGCCTCCCATCGTCCCGTCGTTCACATGCTCAGTGTTTCCTCCATTTCACACACGTACACGATGCAAAAGTTTTACTATGACACATAAAGATTTACCATCAACAGGCAACAGATCCCACGTCCTGCAGAGGAAGAGGAGGAGGGGGATCGGCTCAAAAGGTCAGGCAGCGGGGGTTGGGGTGAGGAAAACC